TAACTGTGCTTTTCTAAAACTCAAATTAACTTGAGTTTGTTTCATGAGTACATACCACTAGAATATGGAGGAAAAAATGACCATAGTCCTTCAAGTGGAGTGGACGATCAGGCTAGGATTTGAACATTTTCACGGACAGTCTACAGAGGAAATGATAGAGAGCTAGCCACCTGCCTTTCTTGGAATTACTGCTGACAATTAATTTTTTGTGTGTTTTATTAAGAATTTTAAACAGCTTAGGAAGCATTGTGAACTGTTTCTGAAGGAATAGTTTCAGAAAGGTCTTCAGCAAGTCCTTGATAACATTGCCATGATCAGAGGAGCAACAAGCCACAAATGTCACTTTTGCATTTGACTAGATGAGAGAGAATGAAGTTTTCAAAAACGTATTGAATGGAGGAAAATAACTGTTACAGGCTTAAGGCAATGATAACCAAATACAGTTAATTCCCTGGAAAAATGTTTTGGCCTTGGCTGGGCGTGGTGGCTCACATCTGTAATCTCCACACTTTGGGAGGCTAAGAGGGGAGGATCGCTTGAGCCCAGGAGCTCAAGACCAGCCTGGGTTGGCAACATAGTGAGACCCTGTCCCTACAAAAAAAAAAAAAAAATTAGCCAGGTATGGTGGTGCATGCCTGTAGTCCCAGCTACTTGGGGAGCTGAGATGGGTGGCTCACTTGAGCCCAGGAGGTCAAGGCTGCAGTGAGCTATATTCACATCGCTATACTCCAGCCTGGTCATCAGAGTAAGACCCTGTCTCCAAAAAAAAAAAAAAAAAAAAAAAAAGTTTTGGCTTTGTTACAGAGATCAGCAAACAGAATCTTCATCTCCCGACCAGCAGTCACCTTCTACAGTGATGGATGTCCTCTTTCATGGGTTCTTTGCCTCTATCTTCCAGACATGGGCAGAGTTCCTCTGTCCATTTATGGGAATCAGACTGTGGGCAGAAAACCAGAACACAGTAATCAAACCATTTCCCACCTCCCGGCCAGAGAGCTGCTTGGAAGTCACAGGTTAGGTCCTCCAAAAGCAGGCATTGAGGCAAAGTTTTGGGTGCAAATAGTTTGTTAGAGACCAACACCTGTGGAAGGAAGGGTATGGGAGCAGGATGGCACCAAGGGAGAGATAAAACTGTGATACAGGCCAGACAAACTGGGAAGGGAAGTCTTCGGAGCATATTTTCTATTAGAGTGTCCCACACTGGGCCAAAATAGTGAGGCCTTTTATGCCCAGCCCTTTGACTCACCAAATTGGGGCTGCCCCAGGAAGGTCATCATCTTGGGAAAGGCAGCTCTTTGCAGTCGAGGCAGACCCTGAAGGAGCTGACAGCTGGGGGCTGCCTGCTGAATGCATTCCCTGCATCTGAGCAGCAAGTACCTCCTTGAAGAGGGGTCCAGTGGGGTGCATCTCTATGTCTACCTCAAAGGCCACCCAGATAATGCACTTGCTAGCTCTCAGGGATTTGGGCGCAGGAAGTGGGGAGCAGCAGGAGCTGATGGTTTGCCTAATATGAGAACTTGGTCTTTCTTTGTTTGCATGCTATGAAATTTTGCCTAAGTTCTCAGTGTAATTATGTCTTAATATCTGCCTTAGAAAGATGGATCAGGCCTTGGTTTTTACTCATATCAAGATTCCAAGATAGGCAAGATGGCTCTTTCGGGAAAAGATGAAAGAATCATCAGAAAATGTTTCCCTTTTTCAGTTATTTGTCATGGAATAATAAATTATGCCAAAACTCAGTGGCTTAAAACAATTTGTTATTTCTCACAAATATGTGGATTGAGTGGGCTCAGCTGGGTGGGTCTGATTCAGATGGGGTAGGCTGAGGTCACATGTGCAGCTGCATTCAGCTGGGAGTTTGGCTAAAGCTGGGATATCCAAGATGATCTCCACTCCTCTATTTCTCTCTCCATATGGCCTCTCATCACGTAGTGCCCTGACCTGGACTTGATCACAACACAGCAGGCTGGTCTCCCAAATGGAGAAGCACAAGATGCCAGTCCTTTTAAGGCCTGTACTCAAAAGTCCCAGAATATTCTCTCCACTTCATTCTCTCTTGGTCAGTGCAAATCACAGAGCAAAGCCAGATTCCTGTTGGTGAGAAGAATGGCAAACGATTTGGAGCCATTTTTTCATCTACTGCTTTGCCCTAAACCAATGTTTCTCAGCCCTTGCAGATACAGATTTCCACGCCCAGTCTCCAGATTGCCTGATTTAATTGGTCTGGGGTAGAACCTGGGCTTTGGTATTGAAGCTGCATAGAGGTTTCTAATATGCAGCCAGTTTGGGAATCCTAAGCTATGATGTGTTTTGTCCCTCTATTGAGAGTGACGTGGCTTCCATCTTGCAGGAACCCCCATGTGGCTTATGTGTGGAGAAACTTTCATTCTGATTCCTGAAGCGTGTTCTAAATCCTTTTTTTTTTTTTACTTACAAGTCAACTAGAAATTTGAGAACACAGTTTTTACTCTTTACAAACCAGCCATTGACCTGAAGCATCACATTTAGAAGTGTGCCTTCCAGTCAATAGTATCGACTGGTGTGACACCAGTTCTCTGAAATCCTCAGCCAAAACCCGAATCTAAATAGTAGACTTCAATCTCTGCCATGAACTGTAGGTTTATAAGAGGTCTTTGTTCTCTTCAATTACTGATAGGTCACTGGGAATTTAGACTTTTAAGGAAACTCTTTTATTTGTTTAAAAGCATGAGTTTCCTTTTTCTAGCAGTTTGGTGCTCTGTTGAAACTGTGTGGTCCTGGTGTGCAGTGCTCTCAGATGGTCGTATGCCTGTGTTGTCTTCCAGCAAGAAAAAATATCAAGCAGTGTCTGCTTTAAACATCATCCAGAGTGATGGTTTGCATCAAAAATGCCCACTGGCCACAGCGAATTTTTTTGTGGATATTAGTTATTGATAAAATATTATAATAGATTCATACATTTCCATGTCAAAGCAACAAAAATGTGCAGTGTTTTTTTTTTGTTGTTGTTGTTTTTGTTTTTTTTTTTTGAGACGGAGTTTCGCTCTTGTTACCCAGGCTGGAGTGCAATGGCGCGATCTCCACTCACCGCAACCTCCGCCTCCTGGGTTCAGGCAATTCTCCTGCCTCAGCCTCCTGAGTAGCTGGGATTACAGGCACGCACCACCATGCCCAGCTAATTTTTTGTATTTTTAGTAGGGATGGGGTTTCACCATGTTGACCGAGAATGGTCTCGATCTCTTGACCTTGTGATCCACCCGCCTCGGCCTCCCAAAGTGCTGGGATTACAGGCGTGAGCCACCGCGCCCGGCCCCTGTGCAATGTTTTTGACTGTGAAGTTTTATTGTAAGTAAGCTCAGTATTTCCAGTAATTAGTCATGAGGTTATTTAATAAGGAATCTTAACCTGGAGTAAGGGTCTGTGGTTAGAATTCAAGGAGTCGTCAGTGAACTTGGAAAAAAATTCCATCTTTATTTTCACTAACCTCTGACTGAGATAGCATTTCCTTTCATTATGAATTGTGAAATTTCACATTTCCTTCCTTTATAAATGTAAGCAACAAATCACAGTGGCACAACAGTACCTTTGACTTTTGTCTACAATAGAAAGCAGAGATATTCTCATACCAAATGTCACAAACATTGTTATAGATGTGTTTGAAAACCTTTTATACTTATCACTAAAATTAGAATTACACTAGTTTTCAGATCCTCTGGTTTCTCCTACCAAATGTGCTAATATAGAAGTATATATGTTGCTACCTCACAATTTTTTTACTGTTTTGATTATTTCAATGTAATGCTTCATTTGCAATCCATAACATGTATGCATATCATATATGTATATGTGTGTCTGCATGTGCATTGTGCATTATTTATTTATAATAAATATATTGCCCTGTCACCCAGGCTGAAGTTCAGTGGCGCCATTATGGCTCACTGCAGCCTTGAACTCCCAGGCTCAACAAATCCTCTCACCACAGCATCCCAGGTATGTGGGACCATAGGCGCATGACACCATGCCTGGCTAATTTTTGTATTCTCTTGTAGAGATGTTATTCAGGCTAGTCTCAAACTCCTGGGCTCAAGTGATCCTCCTGCCTTGGCCTCCCAAAGCACTAGGATTATAGGCATGAGCTGCCATGCCCAGCCAGCATGTATTTTAAAACATTATTGTGAGAAGGTGTCCATAGGCTGCACCAGACACCCATAGGAGACTGTAGCACAAAAGATTAAGAACCCATGCATTAGACTATTTGAATTGTTGAAAATAATTTATAGACTCTCCCCAGCCCAAATCACTTATCACCTTGGCTTATACCAGACAGACTTTATGAGCTAAGCTATCAAGTAGGCTTGTATTTTGTTTCTAGTTGATTATATTGGCAATTCTAACTACTTCTGTGACCATATTCAAGTGGAATAGGGATTAAGAGAATGGATACTGTGTTAGACTGGGATTAGACCCCTGCTCTACCATGCACAAGCTGTATGACCTTGGGCAAGTTACTTAGCCTCTCCAAGGAATCCCTCACCTGTGAAATGGGGATTATATTATCACCTACTACTTTCCCAGGAGGATTCATTATTAGCATTAATTGAGATAATGCTTATAAATTACTTGACCCTCTCTCTACCAGGCACCTAATAAGCATAAAATAAATGTTGCTTTCTCTTACCATTAGGAATCTCCCTTAGCATTAATCTACTTCCCAGGGCAAGCAGCTCTCACTCTGTTCATAGAATCCTTAAGAGACATTTTGTATTAAAGTTTCAGATGATGAAATCAGTTCAATATTCTCTATCAGATAGGCCTGAAACTACCACAGTTGTATCCAGTTTTGACTGCAACAAAGAGACTGTCTTGTCAAAAGTTAGTAGCAGCAGAGAGGGATGAGGCCGTGTTTGTCATTTTGCTATATGACAGCCTAATAGGAAATAAAAGTGGCTGAACTGAGTAATGAGTTGTTTCTAAAGCATTGAGTCCCTTCTAGTTTAACAATATCTGAAACATCCCTGTCTACAATAAACAAGGCACATCCAGTCTTTTCTTTTTCTCCCATTTGTACTGAGCTTCTAACATACGGAAAACAGGAAATATAGGAGCTTCCATTTAGAGAGTAAGAAACTATCAAAACAAAAACTCAAATATTTGGCAACTTATTGCTCTTCTGCTGTCCAGCATGGAGATGTGGTATTTATTTTTGTTCTTAATATTTATTTTTTTATACAGGAACCAGAGTCCCAAGGTTGAGATTCTGGCTCTAGCTCTGTCATCTTAGAGCTGCTTGCCAGAGGGGGACTTCCCACTTTTGACTTTGTTTCAGTTCAATTGCTTCTCCATGCCTTCCCCACACACTGTTTTTTAGACACGGGGCCAATCTCATCATCTCTTTGTAGGGGAGAAGAAAAAAGTGCAGTGACTATGTTAAGTTTCCTAAAGATTCATTTTTGCAAGGATGGCAGTATCAGTAGGTGGTTTTGCTTTTTCTTTTTTAAAACTTAAAGTTGAATACATACCAAAGAGTATTTACAGTGCTGTGTAAGATAAAACAAACAGTGATAAATGAGCACTTTTGTACTCACCAGCCAGTTTAAAAAATACAACATTGCCCTTCCCAATTACCCCTGCAGGTAAAGTACTGTCCTGAATTTTGCTTTTATCACCCTCTTTCTTTTCTAGTTGTTAATAGTTTTACTGCAGATATACATATCCATATATAATACTCTACATTCCATGTTTAATTTTATAGAAAAGGAATTACATACTTTTGCTATTCAACACTATAGGTGAGATTCACCCATGTCGATATGCTCGATTGTGTCTTATTCTTTTTCATTCCTGCATAGTATTCCATCATAGAAGTCTATTATTCATCCAACCCAGCATTGATGAACATTTGGGTTGTCTTCGGTATTTTGCTTCTACACATAGTGCTGCTATTGATGTTTTTGAACATGTCTCCTTGTGCCTGTGTCAAACCTAATTACAGAATGTTGAACTATTTTCCAAATCAATTGTATTCTTACCAGCAATGTATAAGAGTTCTGATTATTTCATGATCTCAGCAAGCACTTGGACTTGCCTCTAGTTTTTTCACCTGAGCTTGTTAAAGGAGGGCTTACTGTCCTTTCTTACATCTAAAAGTCGCGGTTTGTATTCTTTTTCCATGGCTGTCTCCTGTCTGTTGTTTTGTTTCCTTTTTTAATGCCATCCAGTTAAAGGACTCTGGCATCCACTCACAGAGTGAAGGCGGAGTGGACATTTCACATCCAAGTCCTGTAGGCTTTCACATCCAAGTTATGTAGGTTCATTTTTCTTCCTGGGTGTCCCGTGCTGAAGTTGGCTAGCAGACTCTCCAACTCAAAAAAATTCAAAAAGTTATTCCCTCAGGATCTTTTCAATTCAACTCTGCCAACAGTGGCTCAGTAAGAAGCAGCAAGTGAATAAAATCAACAGATCTCAGCTTATGCCTTGGGTTTGCCAGCAATGCCCAGACCATAGGGAGAAAATGAATCTTTTTCTGACAAAATTCCTCACTTCTGCCACTTTTCCATTGAAACAACAAGGCAGAGAAGTTACTTTATCCAGTTGCTTTGCTGTGACTCTTACCAGAAAATTAAGAATAATAGTAATTGGCAAATATGACTCACCCAGTTCTTTAGCATTTCTCACATCTGCTTTATGATATCCTTGCTGGCCTGATTTTATTCATTTCCCAGTGCCTGGCATAGAAACCACAAGAACTAGCAAAAAAGAAAAACACTGCATTTATATAAACCAATAAAACTCGGGAGTATTTTGTGGACATTAAAAGAAACATGAGGGCTATCCCACATTATAAATTTCAAAATGAAAGTTTTTGCCTTGTGGTATTTTTTAAAGTTTTAAGATGTTATTCAAGATACACTCTGAAAAACTGTTTTAAGCTGTTGTTGAAACTTGTTTCTCTTCTCTAGTAGCCCACTTGGCTGGCCTCAACTGGTCTCCTTCCTCACCAAGCTACCCTCCCCTCTGTGCTTTTTCCAAAATGCAAGGTTAATGGTGTTTCAAACCTCTCACTAACTCTGATACCTGCAAGATAAAGTCCAAACTCTGCCTGGATTAATGAAGAGATGTGATCTGGCCACTGTCTCCTTTCCCATCCTTAACTCTTACCCTCTCCCTCCTTTGCATTTAAAATGGTGAAAAACAAAATACCATATCCTCCTCCAACCATGCCCCCAGAAATTCACATGGGATTTCCTCCTCTTGCCTTCTGAGGCCCTTTCTACTCCTCTGACATACCTGGAAAAGTCCCATTTCCCTTTCAGTCTTGGTAATCTTGGCATGCTTGATCCTTCCCCAGAATACCTCATCCTCAGCAACTCTCTCCATCTCCGTATATCTTCTGTCGTATGTACTACACTAGGGTTTCACACTTCAGCTCCTTAATTGCCTTCCTCCTCTATTCGATACTGAGTTCCTTAAGGACAGGAATAATTTGTTTTAAAATATTTACTTTTGTAGCATACCCCTTAGCACAGTTTGTGGCACTGAGTAAATGTTTAGTGAATTAAAATCAAATTGGCCTCTACCTCATTCCCATGCCCCTCTGTTTTGCCTCTGAGTGACGTGTGTGTGTGTGTGTGTGTGTGTGTGTGCGTGTGTGTATTTTAATACGACATCTCTCAAGGAGGGCTATGATTGTTCACCAGTTGTACATACCAAAGTGTCTTGTAGGAAATAGACATGCTGAGATAATGAACAGTTCAAAACAATTCCCTTCTAACTAAAGGCTGCATTGTTTATGTCAGCCAAAGACTATTTCCTTTCTGTGTTGCATGGGAGAAAAATGAGAAATATTCTGGGACACAAATTTATAAAAGGAGTTGTAGAAATTTCATTACCTCAGTGCTGACTAGAGCATCCTCTCCTGTAAAAATAATTGAATTCCTGGTTTTTGTTTTTTTCCCTTCTCTTAAAAAACCACACAGCTTGCTTCCTGAAGACAAAGGAAATAATAATAGCAACTCCCAATTTTACTCTGATTATTTGCCAAGAATCTTCCTAGTTCATGTGGTTCTATTTCATTACAGAGGACCGATTAGCATAAGAAGAATGCTTCTAAATGAAGCTACCCAAATATGCACTTAGTACTCTGGGAGCTAATTTATTGTATTGTTTAAAATATAAATTGGCTAGCAGATCTATTTATTGAGGTATAACAGCTAGGCAACAATCCATAACTTTCTCAGCTCTTGAGTGGTTTTTAATAATCTATTGAAATTTTACAGAGAAGCATTTCATTAAATGGAAAGTGGATAAATATTAAGAAGTCTATATTTTAGAGTATTATCCACACATGGAGAACGGGTTCTAAAAATGGTATTTGAAGAACAAAGAGGGAATTGGGGTTTGCTTTTTAAACAGTAACTTTTTGTTGTTTTAATTTGAAGTGTAACCAAAGACTTTCAAAATCACTTGTGGGATGTTAAAACAGAAATAAACAAGTAAGGCGAAAGCTGGGGAGGGACAGAGAAATAGCGGATGGAACAACATTGTGTTAAGATAGTGCTACATTGTCAATTAGACTAAAGCAGTATTTTTGCCTTGTACAGTTTTGGGGTTGACAGTGAAAACCATGTACCTTGTTTTAACAAGTGGCATCATGAAACTAACATGCTATTTGGCAGGCTCTGTATTCTAAATTCCCAGAGCCTAGAGACATGCAGGGGTTCTGGGGCTCCCTTAGGCTGTGGGTCAAGAACATAGTTGAATCCAGATACACTGTCTGGTCTGGAGTTGTCTTAAACGGATCAGCTCTGGAGCATCTCACGGTGCTCTGATACAAATGGAGGAGTCTTGTAGATGTTGTAGCATGGTCGTGAAATTCTGCTACTGTCAATGACACCAGAACTCAGTGAAGGCAGGCAGAAATGGAGACAAGTGACAGGCCTTTCTCACCTTTCTGCAAATTTTTGAAATTTAGCTGATCTGATTTTCAGAGCCAAGGTTTCAAAGAAGTTTTAGACATTGTAATTTACCATAGATGGAATTTCCTTAGGTTCACCTGGGGAACAAAGAATGCCAGAATGTTTCCACTTGCCCAAGGACAGCCAAAACGTCAGAGAACCAGGAACCTGGGGGTAAACTGGGGAGAGGGGGCACTGATTTTCAGTGTTTGCCGTTTCCCATAGTGTAAATACTTTCACACAGCCAATTTCAAGCTACCAACTTCTTGGTACCCAGAAGATGATGAGTCAGGATCTAAGTCCTTGCAACATTCCTGGCGAGAGCGTTTACTGCTATAACCTCTGCCTCTTCCTTCCCCACTCTTATTCTCTCTTCCAAAAGAAAATTACAAATGTGGATCATAAAGCTAGATATTGAGTAAGTGTAAATAATGAACTGCATTGTGCTTTTTATCCTCGAGGATATCAAATATAAAAACTGGACAGGGAAGGAGAGAATGAGGAAGGGAAGTCTTGATTACTTTTTAATTGCATCAAATCCTGTGTTGTAAAGTGGGTTCCTAGACAGAACAGTTTTTTGCGATTCTGCTAAGACAAGTAAGGTCTTGCTTTCCTGGCATTTCTGTGTAGGAAGAAAAGGGTGTTTGGCATTGCATGTGGTAAAAGGGGAGAGGGGGTGGAGGAAAGAATGGACTGGATCATGGCATTGGCAGGGCTAAAACTCACTGTCAACAGAGTTGAGTGCAGTGACAGGTTTGCTTTCACATTCAAGCTGCTTCATTAATTTAATTGGGACCTTTTCCAGGGAAAGGGAGGATTCATAAAAGGGAAATCAAAGAAGCCTGGAGAAGAAACATTTCCCCTTCTGAAGACTGTATTATAATCCTTTTCTTCTGAAAAAGTACAGGAATGAATGTTATATTTATTAGCGTTTAACTTCTGCTCTTACTCCACTTCTTAAAGGGAAAAAATGTTCTTTTGATCATAAAACCTCAGGTAATAGCAGTACGGTGACCATTGGTTGAGTGCTTATTATCTTTCTAATACACTGCCACATGGTGCAAACTTAGGACATATTTGTAATGGGCCAGGCACAATGGCTTGCACCTGTAATCCCAGAACTTCAGGAGGCCGAGGCAGGAGGGTCCCTTGAGCCCAGGAGTTTGAGACCAGCCTGGGCAACATGGTGGAACACCATTTCTACTGAAAATACAAAAAATTAGCCAGGTGTGGTGACACACGCCTGTAGTCCCAGCTACTTGGGAGGCTGCGGCACAAATAATTGCTTGAACTTAGCAGGTAGAGGTTGCAAGGAGCCAAGATCACACTGCTGCACTCCAGCCTGGGCCACAGAGTGAGATCCTGTCAAAACAAACAAACAAACGACGTATTTGTAGACTGGATGCCATGCACCATTTTGTAAGCATTGTCTCCGAATCCTTATAAAAAGTTAAATATTCATAGAGCGAGCCACCATTCCAAATTGTCTGACACTGTTTTACTTTTAGCACTAACAGCCCTATGTTCCCAGAAGTCTCTTGGTCCTAGGCACAATGGGACAAGTGATCACCAAAATTCTTATCCTCGTTTTACAAATGAGAAAATAGAGACAGTTAAGTCATTATGCCAGAGTCACAGAACTGGGTTCAAACCCAGAGCTGCTAAATCCCGAGTCCATGCTCTTAACTATCAGGCCAAATGGCTTCCTACTGTCCTGTACTTGGCTTTGAGATCTTCATTAACTATAACGACCAAGGAAAGAAAGCTTTGATCATTCATTCCAACCTTGCTGAAGTTAGCGCAGAAATTCTTGGAGTTAACATAGAGAAAATTTCCCAAGGCTCTTTTTGATAGACACATTCAAAGCATATCTAACTGATCTGGTGGAATAAGGCTAACAGTGTCATCCCCAAACCATCCCCCACTTCACACACCTGTGCATGGAGAAACTGTCTCCCACAAAATTGGTCCTTGGTGCCAAAAAGGTTGGGGAACTGCTGCCTTACAACACTTTAACTCACTTTGCACCATCTTAGTGCAAATATTGTCTTCTGAAAAGCTTCTACATAGGTCAAACTCCAGAAGACATAATTATTATTGATACTTTTTACTTTCGTTCACATATGTAAATTCTCAGATGCTGTTCATTCTTCTCTGCATTTCCATGTTTCCATTAAGGATAATTTTCCTTCTGTCTGAAGAATAGGCTTTAGTACTTCTTTTAGTGCTGGTCTGCTGACAAAAACTTTTTCCAATTTTTTGTTTCCTTGAAAATATCTTCATAAGGTCTTCATTTCTATAGAAGTTTTAGGTTAGTAGATATTTCAGAACTTTTAAGATAATATTTCACTGTCTTCCAGCTTTCATTGTTTCTGTTGAGTAGTCAGCTTTCTTCCTTCTTTGAAGTAAATGAAAGTACTGTTTCCTTTTCTATGACAGCTTTTAAGGTTTTCTCTCTCTTTGATTTTAGGAAAATACTATTCTGGGCAAGTGTGTGAGTGTGTGTATACACATACACATGCTATAGTGTAATATACTATTGCTAATATATTATGTGTACTATTATGTGATTAGTTTGCTTTGCATTTATTCTAGCTAGGATTCATAGAGCTTCTCAAAACTGGCTTGGTAACTTTAGTCAATTTTGAAAATTTTTCAGTCAATACCTCTGAATGTTACTATTTATTTCTTTTGCCCCATTTCTTCCTTGTCATTTTATCTTAGAATTCCAGTTAAACGTAAGTTAAATGTTTCATTGTCTCATATATTTTCTTTTCTCTCTCTCTCTCTTTTGTATTTTCCATACCTTTATTCTCCATGCTTAAGTCCGAATATCCTCTACTGACCTAACTTTCAGTTCATACAGTCTTTCTTCTACTGTGTCTAATCTATTGCGAAAACATCTATTGAACTCTTAATTTCAGTGAACAATGAATGAATAACTTTTTCATTCCAGAATTTCCATTTGAGTCTCTTTTATATATTCTAATTCTCTGGTGAATTCTCTCTTCTGTTACCTAATGTCTTGCTTATTTTGTTCACAGATACTTTAAAATGTGTACTTGATAACTCTAATATCTGGATCACTTGTGATCTCTTTCTGTTATCTTTTATCTCCTTTAATTTTAGTCATTTGCTCTTGTTCTTTGTCATGCCTACTAAATTTTATTAAATGTAGGAGAAAATGTACAAAAAAAGTATGAAGAAAAATGTTATTTTTCTTCCAAAAGGATTTAATTTTTTCTAGAAGGCAGACAGAGTAGAGGCATATCATCTTGATTCAGTATGGGATTGAGGTGATTGCTTCAGTGCTTGATTTCAAGGTTTGTGAGGACTAACCTTTGTTTTTTTATTACTTCCAAGGCATTGTCTTTCATGGATCTAATGGAAAGCCTGTGGTGTTTACCAAGTGCTGTCCCTCCTTAACAGGCTTGCAACTCCAATTTTTCTTTTCTTTCTTTTGGGGTTTTCTTTGTTTTTGTTTTTTGGTCTGTCAAGCACCATAATACTACTGAGCTCTTCATTCTCTTACCTGTCACTTTTGACTTGGCATCTTGGTCAGAGAAGCTTAAAAATTGGTGAATTCCCCAAAGGGAAAAGCAGCACAAAATGTTAGGGTCGCTTCCTTGTGATTCTCTTTTCTCTATCATCATGGCTTCCCAAGGCTTGGTGGCTCTCTGATACCTTTAAACAGTGGTTTTCTTTTTAATTCAGCTTCTATTGCTCTATGAAATGAGGTTGGGTTGATACAAGCTATGGTCACAGTCAGAAGTGGAAGTCCTAAATTACAAACAGTATTAGGACTGATTAAATGGTGTATGT